AAAAAAATAAATCAATGTCACATAAAAAGTTGCTGACATGTTTTACACACAAAACCTCTCACATGATACCTGCATGCAGATCCCTGAACAACTAATGAATGAACATGGAATCAAATATTTAAAAAAAATAAATTATCAAGGAATGGAATAACAGTCAGAATGGCTGATACATTTTTCTTTTATTCCCCTGCTGATTTACTTGAGTGCTCCCTACACTGCACTACTAGTCTTACAAACCAAACTTTACCCAATCATTTTACCCTCAGTCTCATTTACCCTCAATCTATTTTTCCCCATCCTATGTTTAGACATTTAAAAAGGTATCACTTTAACTTTTCATTCATGCACATATGACCATTGGGTGGAGATAAGGTTTTAATTAGAAAATTAAAACCAAACTATTGGAGTAGACACTTCCTATAAAAACAATATCTGAATGCCAACACTACTTCACTAAAAGAGGATCAAATGAACTATCTTAAAATAAAAATTTAAATTTTTTCTTATGTTCTAATTTTCATTATTTCAACAGTCTTGACAAAATGTTTGCAATAAAAAAGTAAAAGCTTAAGCTTACTTGAAATGAACAGTTGTGTTTCCATCTACTGGAAAAATGAATTTAACTGAAACAGTAATTTGAAACTTTGGGATTTGGGTAAGTAAAAGAGCAATGATTTTTGTGTAAGATGCGAAGAATTTGCGTGTGACATGTGTCATCACGTGTCATGTCCCAAACACAAGTTTGCAGAAACCACTGCCACTCCCTGCAGTTCGCACAGATTTCACAAAGTCCCTGCTCTCAAACAGTTGCCTGTCAGAATGCAAAACTAATTAATACTCCTAAAAAACATGTATAAGTAATTTCTTAAATAACATTTTTTCTAGTAAATCTGAAATGTCATCTTATTTCAGTATCTTGCTGATTTCCACTATCCCTTCATGAGACCTGGACACTAACATTAGAACAAGTTCTTTAAATAACTGATGTGCAAAACCCACAGAATGTTGCTAATATGAAGCATTCTCAGTATATAACACCTTTTTTCCTTTAAGCCAGAGACCTTGAAAATAATTAAACATGATGGTAAAAGTAGAGAACCTCCCACTTTTAAGTTTTTATTATTGAACACATGTTGTGAAATGGCTATAGCTTTAAAAGACTCTAATTAACCCAAAATAAGAATGTAAATGTTTTGATATGGCAAAACACCTCTCCCTAACCTCTCCTTTCTCTTTTTTTATCTCCATTATTCTTGTAAGAATGACATCAGCCATAACCACACAATTCAGTCTTGCTTTATTCTGAAAAAACGCAATTTTAAGCCACAGCATAGCACAATACCATCACCGTGCTTTTTCGTACTACAGTTTTGCTGTAGAATAACCTGAGATCCATCTGGAAATGGTTATAGTGACCATGGGCTCAGATAAGCCCTCTAACAGCATTTGTGACCAGCACACCTGTATTTCAGCCTGTCTCTCACATGTCAGCCTGAATTAAATTCACCCTTTTCCAGGACCTTCTATGAGCTGCTTCTCTCATCATGGACAGTACAACCACTTTCCCACTAACAGGCTCACTCTTAATCCTGCCATCATTTTCTACTTCGTACTTTGTATCAGACAAATAAGCCCAATGGTGTCTGTACCCCTCCAGTCGCAGGATGTTTCTAAAAAGTCAAGTTTTCACCACATGAGCCAGGCCAACCCATTCCAGTTTTTATCCATTTTTACCTCAAACACAAAACACAACAGGGCATTTTATTTAAACTTGTGAGTTCTTTACCTTTCAAATCTTGAGACAGTATAATTCATTTCACATCTGTATGAAGAGTGCAACACCTAAATTACGACCACAAACACTATCACAATCCTAAGTGCATACCTGTCTCTTAAGTAAAAGGAACATCCTCCCCCTTCTTTCTTTTCTAAAGAAAAGACTCCCTGATCTAGAGATCAGTGTCCTGCACGGAGCATCAAAGGGCAGTAACGAGCCTGGGACAGTCCCACCAAATGATAACTTTAAATCACCTATAACCATAGCAGAAAGCATGGGTTTAAAGCAGGACACTGAACTTTTATAAAATTGCACTCAAACTGTAATTTCTACAAACAAATGCATTAAGAATAACAGAATGATTCAGGGACTGAGACACTGTACAAAGACACACTAAAGAGTCTTTTTCTTGTCATTGCGGTACTATAAAGTTTTCTCCAGACCACTGACCTTTTTTTCTGTGTGTAGAAATACCCAACACAAGGACCTAATATCAAGCTGGAGCTTGGTGCTGGCCAAAGACACACAGTGTTTGAGGATAATGTTCTGATCACATCCTTAACAGCTCAAAATTAAGCCAAACTATTTTGTAGATTACTTGGTTTTTCTGCTCTTACTATGGTTAAACCTCAAATAAAAATGCCAAAACTAGTAAGTCATATTGCCAAGATTTCTGTTCCTTTCCACCTCCTTGAGGTTTGCATATACAAGAATTCACAAAAAGAAAAAAAAGATGAGATTAAAATTTTATGCTTTCAATAAGAAAGGTCCTAAAAGTCAGGGTTCCTGCAGACATTCATCCTCTCTATTAGCCTTCACTAAGACTCTTTCAATTAGCCGGGCATGTTTTCATTACTTTCTTTCTTATTTTTCCTTAATTAAAAACAAACAAACAAACAAAAAACCACTCCAAACCGAAACAACAAACCCATGATTTAAGTTAATAGCTTCCATTATTTTTTAAAGAAAAAAAAAGGCACAAGAGGTAGTTCAATAAAGGTCCAATTGAACTTATGTTGCAACAGTTTTACAATCATTTTAGAGAGTTTTGGTATGCAGTTAGCCCACTAATACAGCAGCAGAACAGACACCATTTCACAGAGCTAGTACAGTATATTTGTCAATAATTTCCATATTAATTAGTTCTTGGCAAGACAGGCTGAAAGAGTGAAAGAGCACTGATGCATAGGATCTAAAACAAATTCAGAATTCACTCAGAATTCAAAAAAGCTGAATATACACACTTTGGTTAGATGTCAAAGATTCCATTAAGAAAGAAAGAAAAGAAAATAAACAAAAAAACTCCAAAAGCTCAATAATAAAATAAAAACCTAACAATGCTAGAGGCCATACCTCAGTACTGCAGATTTTTCACAGCAACATGGAAGTCAGGTACCCTATATAGTGCAACACTTTGAAAACAAATTAAGGAGAGCAAGATCATCAATTCCAAACATTTCAATGGAGGGAAGATGAAATGAAAGATTTCTCTGAAAGGTCCTTTAAAAATCACATTTAAATAAGCTCAAACTAGACTCCAATTATCAGCACTTTATGTAAACGAGGATTTTGTCTATATCCTTTTGAAAAAGAATTTTTTGGCAGATGTTGTATGGTCCAGCCATACTCAAAGTGTTAAAAGTCAACTACCTCAGTAGAAAAAAAAGGGAAACATTATGATGCTGGTGTCAAACCAAGCAGTTTAACAGATACTATCTGTTCAGAAGCAGCATGCTAAGATTTCAGAGCCTCCTCTAGTCCGACATCTATTTATAGCTGCCCAGCCTCTACAATTTCTCACAGCCTCTCCTCCTCTCAAAGCCAAGTGGGAGAAGTTTAATGGATATAATGCTGGGCCTTGGGCTGCAAGATGGCCAGATCTGCAACTCTCCTCCAGCGAACCCACGTGCGTGAAGACCAAGGGTTATGAGATGAGGCTGATCTAACCTACATAACAGCCAAATACATGGCACAAACTATCCCTGTCCACTCTAGGAACACTCATTTTTTCTCTGCCAGCATGTTGATGGTAACGAACCACATCAGCATCAGAGACTCAGCAAAACACACCTGCCTTCTTCCTCCTCACCACTGAGCAACAGCCCAAGCCAGCTTGCAAGCCAAGACAGAAGCTGTCCAAGTAAGCTTTGACCCCCGGACAGCAGCAATGTCAACCAAGCACCCTCCCACTTATAATGCTACTCCTGTACGCTGCACCTTCCTCAAAGAAACTCGGAGGCTGTTGGTGTGCAGTCTCTACCACTCAGCCATGCGTGTCTTTTTAAAGCACTGATCTAGACCGGCTCTCCTTCACCTCCATCAGATGTAACATCGCGGAAAGGGTGCAGATATTTTCCTGCATACGGAACACAACGCCACAGGCTGAACTCCGCTACAAGCTCCGCACATCCATCCCTGGTGCCTCCTCTCCTACCACCTACATCCACTTGCCTGTAGTACTCGTACAGCGACCGAGGAGGTGACAGCACTGCTGGAAACTCCTGACCACCCGATCACAACCACATTTTCGTCCCTTTCCCCAGTCAGAAGCAGACGGAAGGGGAGGGCTGACTTCCTCGGGAGGAAAATAGGCAGGGAAAGGCCGGGGCAGAGATCAAGAGAGGAAGAATCACCCCAAAGGGAGAGGAGATAATCCCCGAGAGGCGAGGTTGCGGAGGAGCCTAAGCAGGGAGTGAGGGACAGGGACAGCGAACCGGGGGGATAATCCTGCAGAGAAGGGGGGAGATAATCCCCTCGGAGGGGGGGAGGCGGAGGATCCCGGAGAGGGAGGGGTGGGAAACCTGATAATCTCCAGGAGGAGAGAAAATACCGGGAAAGTGGGTGGGGAAGGAGGCGTGGGCGGGTGGATAATCCAGAGCGGCAGATGAAGCGCGAGTCCTCCCGGGACGCATCGAGGCGGGAGGAGGAGGGTTAATCCTCGTTCTGGGGCAAAAATCCCTCTTGCCGGACTCTGGCGCTGCCATGTTCGCTCCCCTGCAGGCCCGCCCGGCCCCTACACCTGCGGGCGGCTCTTCCCCTCACGCACAGGAACACGGGGCGCCTCCGCTCCGCGCGCCGGGACGAGCGGGCTCGGCCAGGATGGCTGCGGGACCCCGCCTCCCACAACCATTTCCCCGCCGGCTCGAGGGAGGGGAGAAGAAGCGTGGACCAACCCTCCCTCCCCCCCGCGCACACGCGACCTCCCGCCGGTACGGGGACTCACCGGCCGGCACCGACTCCCGCCGCTCTCGTTCCCTCCTCCCTCAGCGGGCGCGCTCGGCCCCATGGATTATCTTGGCGCGCGGTCTCCCGAGGGACGGCGCGAGCTTGGAAGCGCCTCCGCAGCCGCTCTGCGCCCGCCTCGGCGCGCGCCGCGGCGTGGCTGTGGCACGCGCTCTCGCCGCCGCTCCTCCTCCCCCGCCCCACACCGGCGAGCGCGCGCGCGGCCTCCGCGGGCCGGCAGCGCGCCGAGCGCCTCCCGTTCACACCCCCCCACACCGCTCCAGCCACCTCCCGAGGGAGCGCGCGCGCCTCTACTCGGCCCCACCTCCGTGCGTGTGTGTGTGTCTGTGTGTGTCTGTGTGTGTGTGTGTGTGTGGTTGTGTCTGTGTGGTGTGTGTCTGTGTCTGTGTGTGTGGTCTGTGTGTGTGTGTCTGTGTGTGGTCTGTGTGTGTGTGTCTGTGTGTGGTGTGTCTGTGTGTGTGTGCTGGGCGGAGCGAGGGGGGCTGAGGGCGGGAGGGGTCGGCGCGTGTGAGAGTGCGTGTCACTGCGCGTGAGAGAGCGCGCGCGCGTGTGACAGAGCCTGTGTGAGTGTGCCGGGGGCCGAGGGCGAGAGGGGTCAGCGCGTGTGAGCGCGCGAGTGCGTGACTGCGCGTGTCGCCGTGCCTGTGTGAGCGCGTGTCTGTGAGGCGGCACGTGTGGGCGTGTCGGGGACGGCGCGGGGCCGTGTGAGGGGACACGCGGGGCCGTGTGAGGGGACACGCGTGTTCGTGCAAAAGCACGGGCGTGTTCGTGTAAAAGCACAGGCGCGTGAGGGCCACCGCGTTGGTTGACGGGGAGCACTGGCGAGAGACAGAGCGAGCGTGTGCGAGCGTGTCCGTGTCCCCACGCCGCGGAGCGCAGGCGCTCCCCGACGGGGCTCGGGCTTTGCCCGGGCTGGTTCGGACTCTCCTCGGTCCGAGTCCGGAGGGGACGCGCTGGCGTGACACGTGGCGCTGCCTGGTCAGTCACCGAGTGCGAGAAATACTGGCAGAGAAGTCACCTATTTCAGGGGGAAAGGGGAGGCCGGTAGGTTCCCCTGATGCCAATAACCTGCAAGACCACTGAGTTGGAAGCAAAAACGAAAAAAACGATTTTCCCGCACTTCCGCTCACTGTTTGCTTTAAACAATTCGTTTGCTTTGAACAGTGATAATAGAGTAGCTTTCACTTTTTGCTTCTACAGAGGCTCTCACCTTTGGATACTCTTGGACTTCGGGAAATTTGGGGTGCACTTGGTCAGTCCTGTATGAAAAATTCTCCCTAACTAGAGGTGGATTTTTTTTAGTTTTTTACCTAAGGGTAAAATTTGCCCCAGAAAAGAAAATGTTCATATCCAAAACAACCCTTCATTCTTCAGCTTGTTTTAATTCACTTTTTTCCTTCTCATACAGACTTTCTTGGCATTTTTTGAATCCAAGTGCACAGTTTGGCTGCAATCTGTTTAATTTTGCTGTTTTAAGAACACCTGATAGCCTGGTGTGACATGGTAACCCTTCATAACAAGCAGTCTGCAATTCACACTGGCTTTTCCTTTGGGAGCCATTGGGGAAAAGGGAAAGCCAGAACTATGTGGGGGCAGAGTTTGAACAGAAAATCCCACAGTTACCAATTTTCATTCTAATGGGTTCAGATTGTGCTTTCCTACCAGATAACAAATAAGCTGATTTCTATGCAACCAAAGATATGAAAAAAAGCAGCCTATATATATGATGGGCATAATTACAGAAACTGTGGAACAGCAGTCAGCAGGTGAAAAACCCTTCTCAGATTGACCAATAAAGTTGCATCAAGTAAACAAGATGTTGTGGACCTCATCTTAGGAAACCAGCATGGAAAATTCCTTCAGGAATCATTTTTACTTACTCTTAAAATTACAGTAGCTACCCTGTGCTGAGAGCTTCACAAGCATGTGAAATTATGCATCCCCAGGTCCAAAGAGCTTACAGCCCTCCTGCAATTTCTCAGTTAAAAAGTCCAAATTGAACATATTTTTAGTAATTTTCTTCACAAGCAGTTATCTTTTCCTTATCAAACTGAAAGGAAACTTAAAATGGCATGAGGAATTCTAAGCTACAAAATTACCTACACCACCATTTCAGCCTTCGAACCCCTGCAGCTATGATGGAAAAACTGACAGGCATAGAAAATCTTCGCTCCTCAAAAAATAACTCCACATCATTCTCTCTCCTTTGCCCCTTGCTTATTTTTTGTGGTGTTCTAATGGAAAATCTTTTGAACCAGAGCCACAAAATGCATAAATGTCATCTCGTCCTGTATTTCACAACTCAGTATTTTGTTGACTTCTTCTCTTACAGTCCCCGCATTTGTGGAGACTGAACAGTATTTTATTAAGGAGAAAGGGTTGTAGCAATTTATGCTGACATCTTTCATGACATCCTGACTTTACCTTCATGGCCTATGAAAGAAAATTGCTTCACTGCAAAACTTAAAGGTTCCTTATTACAGAGCTACTTAAAGCTTGAATCCAAACCTGTGAAACATGAGAGCCTGTTTTTGGCTGTAACAGAAATATCTAAACACGGAGTACTTTGACTGCTCCACAGCCCTTTGAACATCTTTCATCCTTGCCTCCACAGCTGCTGTTTGGCTATTAAAACCCTCTAGATAATGTGTCCCAAATGCTCACACACCATATTTTGCCCACTGTTTAGTACATTTGACCCATTAGGGTCAAGAAGGAATTAGAGATGTATTGTTTCAGAGAAGAATTTAGAATTTGCTGTTCACCCTCCGGCAGGAATCATCATATCCTTCTGACTCTTTACTACTTACATTCAAATGCCGCTCATAGAAGAAATCTGCCGTCGAAGGATGGTCCTTAGGACCCTGCTGGTCCTGTTCAATCTGATGGCTTTGTGCCATTCCCGCAGTGCAAAAATGACTGTAAATCTCTTTTATCCATTTAATGGGCAATTACTGCGCTTCAGCCAAACCTCACCCTGTTCCCAGTTTAGGGCAGAGAAGTTGGGGACCTGGCCAGGGCTGACTTATGCCCCTGCAATGTCTGGCTAGGGATCATGGTCAGCTAGGCATAAGTTAGAATAGTGCCAAAACCAAGTTGCTTTATGCCAGGGATTATCTCAGTCTCTGTCAAACCACAGGATTCAGGGAGCATAAAGTCTGTATGATAGGGCAGCTCCAACTCTCATAATTTTGGACTGACTGATTAGCATTCACTAGAACTGGAGTTTATGACTCTACAGAGCTTTGAACTCTGCCTTTGATGATACAGATCTCACTGAAGCAAAGGGTTTCTTTTACTATGAAGTCTGCTGCTCCTTTTTGTAAAACTGCAGGGACCACGGTGGCTAATGTTGTGATAGTTCCATGCTGATGCTGCAAGTAACAAAGTAGAGGTCTTTATCCAGGGTCTTTTAGTTTTGCTGGGGCTCCCACCCTGATGTTAGAGTAGTTAGAGGAGCAGACACTCCAGTATACAGAAAGTGAGAAGGAGGACGATGTGGTTTTCAGTCCACTTACAGTTCTGGATGTACACATGAAAAAGAAAACCTGTAATCACTACCAGCACTGCCACAATAGTGGAGAAATTATCTACTGCCTGGTGTCAACTATGCCAAAATTTTTGTCTCATGCTGTGCAGAACTCTGGGTCTGAATTCTGAATTCTCTATCACTGCTCCGATGCCAATTTTAATGATGAAATGAATAGATGTACCCAAAGAAGAGCTTCTTCTTTTGAGTTAGTTACCCTTTTCACATCTAGTTATTGTGGCAAAGTGTTGTTGAGCACTTAGAGTGAAAGATTTTGAGACACTGTATATTTTTAAAGGAAGTTTTAAACCGATTGGTGGCATACTCAGCAAGTCCAGTGTTCTGTGTACTTTCATTAACCAATGTCTAGCTTGGATCAGTTGTTATTATCAGTCTTAAGACAGCTGGAATTCTAGACTACTTCTTTATTTGATAACCCCTAAAATATGCTTTCTTCGTGACCCAATAAATTAAGACAATAAAGTATCAGCTTCTTTGCTGTGTTTATCACCATTTGGGAATCTTACGATGTTTATGTATCCACTGGCACACCATCCAAGATATTTTTTATTAAGTTCTTTGTGCCAAAGAAATGAACCATGGGATTTTTAATTATTATTATTACTTTTATGTATTTTTGGTATACAGTTTGATTGCATGTCTGTACATAAGACATCATGGAAGATTTTAAAAAAGATCCAGTAAATGCAGCAAAATCTCTAAGAAATAACACAATTTTCCAAACTATCTCAGAGGAACTCATTAAAAGATCATGTAGATGATTACAAATATTGATGGTAAAATAAAACCAGTTTTCTTTTAGGGGTGGGTTATCAAAACCACAATAATTAGGAGAATGTTGATTTACATGTAAAAATAACATGAAAGAATAAAATGAAACAGCACCTATACAGTTAAAAGGCTATATGTCTAATTCCTGTGCTATTTTCATCACTGAGTTCTGTTTGCAAGTGGAATTCAACTCCACAGGAGGAGATAATGAAGACAAATAGTATGGCTTTATTTTTAAAAGGGGTGGATAATTTCATGGCAGCTTACAACATTGGTAACTGGGTAAGCTAAGATAATAAGGCTAATCAAATCTCATGCTTCATAGCACTAGTTCCCTGCGGGGTCAGGAAAAATCTTTCCACTGTATACAGCACTATACAATTAGCAAGGTTATTATTAGGAAGAAGAGGTACAACCTTCTAAAGAAACCAGCTTTTGCTGTTATTAAAGAACAGAGGCTGTACTTGGCCAGACAGAGAAAAGAGCACTATTTTCTTGTGCTACTTCTGCTCCTCTAAACTGTCAGAGTTTTAGAATTACAATTCTCATGTTTGTTAAAAAAAAAAAATAAAAATCCCCTGAACATGATTACCTAAGTGCATTACTGTCTGAAATCTATCAAAAATTCCTCCACCTGAGACTGGTATTCCAGTTCAAAAATAGTTGTCACTGACTAGACATGGGAATCACATTGATTAAGATGTTGCAGGTTGCACGTGCACATTTCCTTCTGGTTAGGTC